ACGACCCGGAGGCGCAGGCCGTCTTCTGGCACAGCTCCGCCCACATCATGGGCGAGGCCATGGAGCGCATCTACGGTGGACACCTATGTTACGGGCCGCCCATCGAAAATGGTTTCTACTACGACATGCATCTGGAGGGCGAAGGGGTAAGTAATACAGTCTTTCTTACTAAATAAACGAGCTAACAAGGCAGTTAATATCAGATCTCCACCAACGACTACGGAACCATGGAGTCCCTCGTCAAGCAAATCGTTAAGGAGAAGCAAAACTTCGAACGCCTGGAGATGAAAAAGTCCGACCTGCTTGAGATGTTCAAGTACAACGAGTTCAAGGTGCGCATTCTCAACGAGAAGGTGACCACCGATCGCACCACTGTCTACAAGTGTGGCTCTTTGATCGATCTCTGCCGCGGACCCCATGTCCGCCACACCGGCAAGGTGAAGGCCCTTAAGATCACTAAGAACTCCTCCACTTACTGGGAGGGCAAAGCCGACGCCGAGACTCTACAGCGCGTCTACGGCATCTCGTTTCCCGATCCCAAACAGCTCAAGGAGTGGGAGAAACTGCAGGAGGAGGCGGCCAAGCGGGATCACCGCAAGATCGGTCGCGAGCAGGAGTTGTTTTTCTTCCACGAGTTGTCGCCGGGGTCGTGCTTTTTCCAGCCGAGAGGAGCACACATCTACAACACGCTGATAGGGTTCATTAAGGCGGAGTACAGGAAGCGCGGTTTCCAGGAAGTCATTTCGCCCAACATTTACAATGCCAAGTTGTGGATGACTTCTGGCCACTGGCAGCACTATGCCGAGAACATGTTCTCCTTCGAGGCCGAAAAGGAGAAGTTCGCGCTCAAGCCTATGAACTGTCCCGGACATTGCCTCATCTTCGATAACCGCAACCGATCGTGGCGAGAGTTGCCCTTGCGCATGGCCGACTTTGGAGTGCTTCATCGCAACGAACTGTCTGGTGCTTTGACCGGACTAACTCGCGTGCGCCGTTTCCAGCAGGACGATGCGCACATCTTCTGTGCCCCCGAGCAAATCAAGAGCGAGATGAAGGGCTGTTTGGAGTTCCTGAAGCACGTGTACACCATTTTCGGCTTCTCCTTCCAGCTGGTTCTGTCCACTCGCCCGGAAAATTATTTGGGCGAGCTGGAGCAGTGGAACGATGCTGAGAAGGCCCTGGCCGAGTCACTCAACGAGTTCGGAATGCCCTGGAAGGAGAATCCCGGCGATGGAGCCTTCTACGGACCCAAGATTGATATTACCATTATGGATGCACTGAAGCGCGCACATCAATGCGCCACCATCCAGCTGGACTTCCAGTTGCCCATTCGCTTTAATCTCAGCTACATCGCCGACGATGGCGAGAAGAAGCGGCCAGTGATTATCCATCGCGCCATCCTCGGCTCAGTGGAGCGCATGATCGCCATTCTCACGGAGAACTTCGCCGGCAAATGGCCGTTCTGGCTGTCACCGCGTCAGGTGATGGTGGTGCCAGTTGGTCCTGCCTACGACCAGTACGCCCAGTCTGTCCGGGATCAGCTTCACGATGCCGGGTTCATGAGCGAGGCGGACTGCGATGCCGGCGACACAATGAACAAGAAGATACGCAATGCTCAGTTGGCCCAGTTCAACTTCATCCTGGTGGTGGGCGACAAGGAGCGCTCGTCGAACACCGTGAATGTGCGCACCCGGGACAACAAGGTGCATGGCGAGGTCTCCGTGGCGGAGCTGATAACCAAGCTGCAGAAGATTCGCGACGAGTTCATCGCCAACGAGGACAGCTTCTAAGACTTTATTTCGATCTATTTATCAATGGTATACTTAAAATTTGCATAGCAAAGCAAGTACGCATTTTTTGTTCTTTCTATGTATTTACGCTTATGAAAACGGAAATCACAAATAAAAACCAAATCCAAACCTAATTTATTATATTATTTTGTAGGCTTAGTGTGCTGATTATGGGTCAAAAAATTGACCTTGGGTCACTTTTTAGTCATACAAAAAAAAAAAAATAAATAAAACCACCTGGTAAAAGTAAAATATTTAATTATTAAAAATTTTGAGTCATAAAAAAAAATATAAAATATTTGTGATCTCAAGTTTTAGTTTAACAATTTATTAAGTTTTAATTGATAACAAAATGAACTGCATTCTAGATTTAATTACCCGATTATGAGGTTCCCACTTCATGAAGGCATATCTTTACGATCCAGGTTAAGCCTATTACACTGTAATTTCTTGTGGAATTCGTCAGCAATTTCGAACTAGTCATGCCAATACACAGGTGTGCAGTTCATTCAAGAACGATTTGAACCGGTAACACAACCTGAAATAGATAAGATACGACGCCCCAAATATCATGAAACCCTCTTTTGGGGAGGGAATTGGGAGAGGTGTGAGCACCCACATTTTATGAGTCATGCTTTGGGTTTGTTTTTTTTTTAATTTATTGCTAATATATTGTATACTTTTCATTTTCATAATTTGATTTATTAAAAATTGCATCCATAGTTTTATGTTTTTATTCAATTATCAATTTTGTAAGCTTTTGCTTTTCGCGTAAAAAATGCACAAAGTTCTCTCGCTAATCGAAGCAAAAATCGTTAATAATGTTGTTAAGTGTTTTCTCTGCTCGTGCTGCCTGTCTGTTTCAGTTTTAGTCATAAAAATACATATTATATATCTGTGTATATTTATTCATAAGATGCACGTGGCCAAGTCCTATGCCATCCAAATTTCCAGTTAGCAGTCGCGCACGCTGTGCTAAAAAAACCGAACCAAGATGGGCGAAACAAAAGCCGCAAACAGAACAGAATGGGGCTAAAATTGGAAACAAAGTGCCTGGCTGGTGGAATCATTGAACACAGGCTGGCTGCGTGGTATCTACGACTGTTGGAGATGCCGAGAGCTGGAATGTCGGAGGATCCTGGGCCGCCTGGCCTGACATAAGTACATGGTTGGGTTTTTTTAGGGTATCGGAAATGCACAACACTATATTCTTAACTGGTAGCTAACTCGCAAATATTACTCTGATCTTGATCCCTGATCTCGTGTCAATGAGTTAGCATTCACCTACGCTCGGGATTAGCTCGTCTGCACTGCTCAATTAACATTAATTAGTTAGCCGATTTCGTTAATTGTTGTTTAGTCTATTTGCCTTTGCTATCATTTGTTACTTTATAAATAAACTTAAACGTAAAGTGTGTATGTGTGTATAGATGTTGAGGAATCCGCCGTAGATCCAGCCACATACACCTGACACCTGTGTACACTAGTGCTGTTGGCCGATCTCCTGCTCCTGCTGCTCAAAGGGGAGGATGTTTGTTGTGTCGGATTGGTTCGGCTCAACCGGTTCTAGCAGGCGCAGCCGCCCTCGGGATCCTTCGTCTCGTTGGGCGAGTCCTTGAGCACCACCTCCTGCATGTCCTCCGAGGGCTTGTTCTCCGTGGAGTCCATGCCGGGCAGTGCCGCAGCCACCCTCCGGAACAACTGCTTCACATTGTAGCCGGCCTTGGCGCTCGTCTCGATAAACATCACGTTCAGCTCCTTCGCCTTGCGCTCACCCTCCTCGGTGGACACCTGACGCTTGTCCGAGAGATCCGTCTTGTTGCCCACCAGCATGATGATAACGTCACTGCCTCGCTCCGTGCGCACGTCATCGATCCACTTTGAGGTCTGGTGAAACGAGTTGGTGTTGGTGATGTCGTACACGACGACGGCCACCGTGGAGTCACGAATGTAGGATGGGATCAGGGAGCGGAATCGTTCCTGGCCCGCCGTGTCCCACAGCTGCAGGCGCACCGTGCGATCCTCCAGGTACATCGTCTTCGAAAGGAAGTCGATCCCAATCGTCGCCTGGTACGTGTTGTCGAAGCTGTCGTACATGAATCGAGTGATCAGAGATGTTTTCCCCACACTTTGCTCGCCCAGGAAGACCAGCTTGAACTTCCGCAGCGGATTGCCAAAATCTCCGGATGACATCTTCCACGTACGTGTCTACTTTTTCTTAATTACGGGTTGGCTGACCTCTCTTCTCGCTCCGCTCTCCACTTTCCACACTCCTCGGCTGCGCACTCTCCACACTCCACCCCTCCTCTCTGTTTATAATGGGGCTGGGCCAGCGGTTTTCGGGGCCTTTTCGCACTGCGATTTCGCTGAAAGCACGGCTCCTGGTTGATGCACTTGCTTTCTAAATGCTGTCGTTTATCTAAGGCCCGAATTCCGGTTGAATTAACTTTGCAAATAGCTTGGTTAAGTCGTGGAAAAATTACGGCCAGCAAATCGTCTCTGCTTCTTCTTCAACTTCTGACTCAGTTGCTGTGTGACCATGGCGGGTAAGAAATACCGAAAATACAAAATAGTGAATGCCCCTTCAAAAAAATACTAGAAAGGTGAATAAGTAAGAGTATATTTGTCATATTCGCTTTAAAAATTAAAAAGCTTTGTTAATGGTGAATCGGCAGAATTAAAATATTAAAGTACTTATTCTTTTTCTCTGTACTATTGTAAACAGCGATTTCTGAGGAATCTCTCCCAACATTTTGGGGAACGAGAATTCGGTGACAACTCTGAAATAACCGTTAAGTAATGTAGACCAAATACATAAAGTACTAAACAAACATATTTGTATTTTAAAATGAAAGTAGTAAACTTTAAAATAATAATTTATTTTTAAAAGTTATAAAAAAAGTTTTTCGAAGAAAACTAAAAACAGTGAAATATCTTTCGTGCCAAAAAGGGATGAAATGCAATACAACAAAATTGGTGAACAGTGATTTTCAAATGTAAATACTTGACTATAAAAATGTTTAATCTCCAAAAGGTGAATTGCGATACTTGAGATATTAACGTAGTTATTTTCCCAGCCTATCGGTGCAAGTTGACGTACTTCTCCCAAAGAGTCACAACTCGGGCGTCGCTTAATCTTCAATTATAATAAGCGGTTATCTGAAGAACACGGGTCTTAATTGAAAGCCTTATCTGCTGGCGCTGGCGAAATTTAGTATCGCGAATTAATTTAAACAGCCCTCGATAAAGGCCGATGTAAACAGTTCCGCGAAAACTATGATAGCGAACGGACAGCAAACGAAGTGTCGTCCTCGGGCGCTGGGCAGTGTGATCCTGCTGGTCCTGAGCCTGTGCCAGGTGTCCGGAGTGGCCATCGCCCAGCCCGAGGGGCGTGTGGTGGGCGGCAGTGCGGCGGCGGAGAACAGTGCTCCCTACGCGGTGTCCATGCAGTACGGTGGAACCCACTATTGCGCGGCTAGTATCCTGAATGCCAACTGGCTGGTGACGGCTGCTCACTGCCTGACCAACAGTAACCAGGTCCTGGGCAGCACCCTGGTGGCGGGCAGCAATGCGGTGGCCGGAACAGCCAGCACCACGCAGACGCGGAGCATCACCTACTTCGTGATCAACGATCTGTACACTGGCGGAACCGTGCCCTACGACATCGGACTGATCTACACGCCCACCGCCTTCGTGTGGTCCGCTGCTGTGGCCGCTGTAACGCTTCCCTCCGCCGGAGTGGTTCCCACCGGCACCGCCAATCTCTACGGGTGGGGCAGCATCAGCACTACCAACACCGCCTCCTATCCCTCGACCCTCCAGGTGGCCACCAATGTGCCCATCATCTCGCTGAGCTCCTGTGAGTCCGCCCTGGGCACCAAGGGCAGCGATGTCCACTCGACAAATCTCTGCACCGGTCCTCTGACCGGCGGTGTCAGCATTTGCACCTCGGATTCGGGAGGTCCTTTGGTCCAAGGCAATGTCCTCATCGGCATAGTGTCCTGGGGAAAGTTGCCCTGTGGCCAGGCCAACTCGCCGTCGGTCTATGTGCAGGTATCCTCGTTTATTTCCTGGATATCGGCCAACCAACAGGCGCCCTAAAGTCCCGAATTTAAACCTATTTTGTCAATAAAAGCAATTCAAGTTGTGCCACTAGTGGTCAGTGACTTAAACGTGAGAATTTCCTTGGCATTGCAATGACTTTATCACACAGTTAGTTTATCTTATCAATCGTAGGGAACGAAAAATTGTCAGGAAAGGGGTCTATCTGATTTGAAATGTATTTCTCACATATTTTTGGGCTCAGCAAAACCACCCTTCTAAAGCCAATCGATCAATAAAACTTTTGTTTAATGTAAAAGTTCAAAACTTATATTAAAATAATACATACCTTTGTTGCTTTAATGTATATGCGCACTTTTTGAGATAAAAGCATTGTATTGAAACGAAGTTATATCTACAATTTTTTTTAATATTAAATTATTATTTTTTTTTAATAAATCTTATTAAAATAAATGCTTTTTTCTATTTTGTAGCAAATGATTATGGCCAAGTCACGGAAATCAAAGGAAAGTTTTTCGCAGAAACTTTTCTGTAAATAGTTGTGGTCATATCACTTTGCGTCAATAGAAACAATTAAAAAAAGCAAAGATTGCGAATAAATAAATATTACTTTTTAATAATCAGTTACATTATTTAACAGTTACCGAGTAAAAGAAAAAGCGATCTATTCGTATCGAAGGGGAATCCCACCAAGATCTCGAATAAAATGACAAACTTGAGATATTGCAGAACTCATGTTTGTACATCTATCTGTTTCGTAGACAAAGTCTTTCACTACAAGAGTATAATAAGTATATAATATATATATATATAAATGCCCACTCGGACTTCTTCTAATCTTAAATTATAGTAGGAGCTTATCTGTAAGACAACGGCCCTAATTGAAACCCCTTATCTATTTTGATGGCTCGCGTGAAATTCTGTATCGATTTAATTTAAAAAGCAGTCAATGCAGGCGATGTAAACAGTTCTGCGAAAACCGTGATTGCGAACGGGCAACAAACAATGTGGCGCCATTATTCTCTGACCATTTTCCTTCTCCTGGTTCTGGGCCTCTGCCTAGGATCGGGATTCGTCTTCGCCCAACCCGAAGGACGCGTGGTGGGCGGCACGGCGGCGGCGGCCAACAGTGCTCCCTACATAGTGTCCATGCAGTATGGAGGCACCCACTACTGCGCTGCCAGCATCCTGAACACCAACTGGCTGGTAACTGCTGCTCACTGCCTGGCCAACAGAAACCAGGTCCTTGGAAGCACCCTGTTGGCGGGCAGCATTGCGGTGGCCGGAACAGCAAGCACCACCCAAAAACGCTCTATAACATACTTTGTGATCAACGATCTGTACACCGGCGGAACCGTTCCCTACGATATCGGTCTGATCTACACACCCACCGCTTTCGTTTGGACCGCTGCAGTGGCTCCCGTCAAGCTGCCATCGGCCGGAGTGAGGCCAACTGGATCGGCCAACCTCTTCGGTTGGGGCAGCACCAGCAAAACCAACAGCCCCGCCTATCCCAAGACCCTCCAGGAGGTCAAGAATATTCCCATTATTAGCCTTGATTCCTGTGCGAAGGCGTTGGGCAGCAAGGGAGCGGATGTGCACACCACGAACCTGTGCACGGGTCCTCTCACCGGCGGCACCAGCTTCTGCACCTCGGATTCGGGAGGTCCTTTGGTCCAGGGCAATGTCCTAATCGGCATCGTGTCCTGGGGAAAGTTGCCATGCGGTCAGCCCAACTCTCCATCTGTTTATGTTCAGGTCTCTTCGTTTATTTCCTGGATAGCAGCCAACCAAAAGTTATAAACTTTCGATTCTAAAAAGTAAACTGAATAAAGATCTTAAAAATAAGTGCAAAGTCATTACGTGCTTATTATTGAAAGAACACTCAAGAACGAGGAAGCTGCTAATTTAAGATTGTTTGCTTAACTTGGCCATGACTTTTAAATCGTTACCCGTTTCTGTGTCAATTTTCAACGACTGTACAAGAATTTTGGAAAATTAGTTAGAAATCACTCTTTAACTAATGTTTGTGTCAATTTCTACTGTTTCATCACTACTTTTATATGTCCGCTGTTTACAATAGTAAATAAGGACCAAATCTTTATCTTTATTAAATCTAATCTCATTTTTAAATAAAAACGAGGACGGAAGCTAACTTCGGCAAGCCGAAGTTTTAATACCCTTGCAGACTTTGACGAAATTGCTAAAAGTGAAAAAGTAGCGAAAGGAATAAGGTATACATAAGTAAACTAGATTTGCATCGTTTCAAGTCAATTGCTTTTATACTGCAAAAATGTCATATACAAAAGGGATACTTTCGCAGCCTTTAACAATTTTTCCTATCTCCTTTAAGATATAGACTTCCGAGCGGCAAGCGCTTTTACCCTAATCAAGATATGCGTAAATAAATAAGAATTGGAAAAATTTATGTTAGTAGCTTACACAATGCGCGAAATATTCTGATAATCATCAAATTTGGACCGATTTCACCCTATTGTTTCTATGGGAGCTATAGGATATAGACGTCCGATCGGCACGCGCTTTCACCTTGATCAATGAATGCATAAAAAAATAGGATTTGGAAAGATTCATGTCAATAGCTTGTATACTGCGTGAAATATCCTAAAAATCATTAAATTTTAACCGATTTTACCCTTTTGTTCCTATGGGAGCTATAGGATATAGACGTCCGATCGTCACGCGCTTTTACTCTGATCAAGGTACGCATAAAAAAATAAGATTTGGAAAGATTTATGTCAATAGCTTTTCACTGCGCGAAATATCTTCCATTCTTGCAAGTTATATCCGATTGTTCCTATGGGAGCTATAGGATATAGACATCCGATCGGGGCGGTTTTCAAACTTGATCTGCGTACACTTGTTTTAGGACGACTGTGAAAGTTTCAGATCGCTAGCTTTTAAACTGAGCTCGCAAATGGTATTGAAACAGACGGACAGACGGACAGACGGACGGACGGACAGACGGACAGACGGACATGGCTATATCGACTCCCCTATTGATCCTGATCAAGAATATATATACTTTATAGGGTCGGAAACGTCTCCTTCACTGCGTTACAAACTTCTGACCAAAATTATAATACCCTCTGCAAGGTATAAAAATATATGACTCATTATACCCTTGCAGAGGGTATTATAATTTCAGTCAAAAGTTTGCAACGCAGTGAAGGAGACATTTCCGACCCTATAAAGTATATATATTCTTGATCAGCATCACCAGGAGAGTCGATCTAGCCATGTCCGTCTGTCCGTCTGTCCGTCCGTCTGTCCGTCTGTCCGTCTGTCCGTCCGTCCGTTTCTACGCAAACTAGTCCCTCAGTTTTAAAGCTATCTGCTTGAAACTTTCCCAAAAGTTGTCTTTCTATTGCAGGTAGTATATAAGTCGGAACGAGCCGGATCGGGCCACTATATCATATAGCTGCCATATAACTGAACGATCGGAAATGCCATAACTTTGGTGTTTTTAAGGTTAGGAAGTTGGGATTTTCTATGAGTCTTATTTTTGGCCAATCAATGCGACCTACCAAATTTCATAAGGATCGGCCGACTATATCCTATAGCTGCCATATAACTGAACGATTGGAAATGCCATAACTTTGGTGTTTTTAAAGTTAGGAAGTTGAGACTTTTTATGAGTATTAAGAATACACCATATGAATAATTTTGAAGAATATAATTTACAGAATATTCTGCAAGGGTATATCAACTTCGGCTCCGTCCGAAGTTAGCTTTCCTTTCTTGTTTTTTTATTATCTTTTGTTTGACATCATTATAAGAGCAATAAAGGGGGAGTTTGTTTTTTATGTTATTATTTTTTGTCACTTGCTCAGAACAGCTCTCTGTCACAACTTGATGCCAAAGTTAATGCACTTACAAATTTGGCCAAAAATTAAATTAAAAACAAAGCAAATTTCTGACTAAAATTTTGCAACGCAGAAAAAAACGGAACATATGTATTTTAACTTTATCTTATCTCCCTATAAACCATTAGAAGCCCTTAACATTTTATACTATTGCGTAGGATTTCAAGTCGATTTACAAATAAAAAAGTTAAAATGTTTGTACCTTCGATAAGATTAGTAATGATTTGAAAGGAAACGAGATGACGTATATAAAAAATGTAGTATAATAATTTGAAAAGAATTTAATCAAATTTTTCCAGGTTTGCACATGCAGATTAGCTCTTTTAAAATATATCATTTTTCAACGTAATCTGTAAAACGTATCTGTTATTAGCGGTTTATATTCTTTACATAGAACACTGGCAAACAATACCCCAACAAGAGCTTAAATATAATTTATAAAGTTTAAAAATAACTTATCTTCCGAAAATAAATAAACTTATGTCAACAATATATTTAATTAATCTTTTCTTACCATATTTCTAATTTCGGATAAAACTTCCATTTCCTAATTGCAACACCATTAGTAGAGCTATTCTAGCCATCGCACTTAGCCCATGAGATGACTTTTGCTTTTCAATTCTGCTCATTTTGGTGTGGGCTTCAGCACGTCCAGATTTCATTTCATCCCAGCCACTCCTCCTAAACCGGCCTACGTTTTATCAATCAAATTGATCGCGCAGGTCTCGTTGGGGAGCTAATTGGTCGGCAAGTTGCTGGACACGATCGCAATCAGTTTATTGACACGACCAGGGCACATAATTGAATGAACATATCAATTTCCCATCACAATCACACCAGAAAAGCTTATTAACTGCCCTCAAAACTGCTTCGCGCCCCAGAACTTCGCAGGGGAGGGGGTAGAGGTGGCCAAGAGCGAGGAACGTGGCCCGGAGAACGATGACCAGAACACGCCCGCAGCTAATCAGGCTCTAATGGCGATAAATATTTCATTCTATATTATTTTGTTTTTATTCACCAGCCCGGGCCCGCCTCCGAGTCAAAGTCATACTTCGAGTCCGAACGAACCGGCCTGCCAGGAGTCAAGACAAAGCGACGACTCAACGGGAACCAACAGGGAGACCGAGTGGGGCATGCCCCAGAACAAGAGGCACAACAGACCCATCGATGGACCCGCGAACACCAGACAGACAAAATCTCCGACGCGATCGATGAAGACAAGATTGATAAACGAACCAGACTGTGAAGACCAGAGATGCAACAGAGACTTCATTGCCTGGTCAAAAATTTATTAAAGTTATGCCATTTTTATAAATTTATAGAGAGATTTTCATATCATTCAACTTAATATACCAAAGTCACACGTCTGTAGATAAGCTTTTATTACCTTAAAAAATTAACAAGAAAATTCTACTTTCGATCATGAGAGAAATTGCCTTGTGAAATTCATTTTATCATAAATCTTAATATCGTAGATAGTGGCACTTGATAATATGATCTTAATTAATAATATTTAGATCAGTTTATTTATTTTTTAGATAGTAACCTAAAATGCATTTAAAAAATTTGAAATTAAATAATTAAAAGCTTGTATTACTTTTTTGATCTAAAATTTGAATTACTTAAAAAATTGTTGTATTAAAGATTTGAAAAAGCTTTACAAAAATTAGACAAGCAATTTTGTTCGGTTTTCAAGAAACCATTTTTTGTTACCAAATTAAAATAAAACGTTTTTGTATTTGTTCAATTAAATTTATTAAAATTTAGAGAGTGTATGGTTTAAAATAAATAAAAATTTGTATCAGTTGAAAAAATAAATATTATCAATACCTACAAATATTTAATTTACATAAACACCAAGATCACATCTTCGGCCAGAACAAAAGGAAAAAGAATTCAAACAAAGTCAAGGTAAGGCCAGATCTCTTTGCTTCCTTCGCAATCTTCGTGTTATGAATCGAACAGATTTATGCAACCTGGGGAACAACATGGGCGGGTGCTCCTCCGTCTCTCCAATCCCGTGCCGCTCCCTTCCCTCTGCTCCCTCAATCGGTTTCTCCTTTTCTCTGCTGGAGAAGATGAGGATGAGGATGCGACCGCGACATTTGGCTGCGCCATTATGAGTAATGGAGTAATGCCTGGAATTGTTTACTTGGGGGCTTTATTGGCGTCGGCATTTGGCATCGGAATGAATGTCTGTGCTTTATGGTATTTTATATATACACACATACGAATTTATTGTTATATATTCTCTTGCCTGGTTTCTGTGGTCGGAAAACTAAAAATGATTTTATAATTGGTAAGGAGGGGATCGGAATATTGAAATGAGTAAGCCATAAATAAAAGTCAAACATAAATAAAAAGTTGTTGAGTTAGGTAGATATTTTTATTGGAATTAGACAAATTATTAAAATGTTGCATCTTAAAGGTTTTATGCATACCTTTTAAATTATAAGTTTAAAAAGTAAATGTTTATTGGAGCAAAGCAACGAGTGCATGCTGAAATCTACTTTGTAAAGCCTTGAATAGCTTTTAATAATTATGTTAAATGAACAATGAATTAAATAAAGTCATAATATTTATGAAATATTTATAATATATGATTATCATTTAACATAATTTGTAGTTCATTCAAGCCTTATTAATAAACTGTCGGGTGTCCTACAAAAAAATACCTATGAAAAATCAATCTTTGCAATCGTTCCGCGAACCTTACACAATCGCGTGGACAAATCTAAAGCGAAATATAATTTTTAATTGGCCAACAAACTGCGGACTAGCGACATTTCAAGCTTATCAGCCGAACAACCAGTAATTAATCTCCCTTCGGTCGAGGGAACTCTCTTAGCGGGTTCTCTCTTGAGAGAATCTCTTTCGCTGCAGCTTTCGAACGAGAATCTTTGGCGCGCTCGAACAGAGTTCAGTATGCAGACAACTTTCTTTCGAATGCTTTTTCTTAAAAGCAACTCGAACTTGTTGCTGGGCCTCAGTTGGGGATCAGCACGCGACGCGTTCAGAACGAGAAAACGGAAAACGGAGTGTGGAGACTGTAGAAAATTAATAAAAAAAAAAAAGACTGAAAGACTTGAAGACTCTTCTTGTGGTCAAGGATGACCGAACCCTCGAGTGGCGGTGAAGTGCAAGCATAAACAAACAGAAAAATCGACAGAATAGCAATCGGTGGAGTCATATATTTTTGTTTCGGTGCCTCACAGTTCAGTGGATATAAGAAGACCTCACCCTAGACAGGTATGTGCACTTGCGGGGAACTCCAGGAATGCATCGCTGGGCAAACACGGACACTTCCCAGTTGTGGCTGCGGTCGCTGTTGCGGTTCTTTGCCGCCTCCCCGCCACCTTTATCCACACTTTGGGCATGCTAAAATTTAATAAGTGTTTTCCTCAAACCGTTTTTCCTGTCGCCTCTTTTTCACGCTGTTTTACGTAGCTGTTCTTGTTGTTCAATTCTTTGATGCATTGCCAAGGGGAGTTGGGGTGGGTAAAATATGCAGTTGGCAAGTCGGCTTTCCTTCTTTGCCCACCAACTTGGCAAATTCTTGCGGCACATTTCATGTATTTGTTTTGCTCCCTCTGCCAAATGCTTTTTCCTAACGTGTCGCTTCGTGTTAACGGTATTGTTTACAATGTTAATAGAACCCACCGAGTTGGTGGACAGATAAATAAACAAACACACAAACCAGCAGCCGGAGCCGAAAGTCCATGCTTCAGTGCACTCGTTCTTGCGGAGACAGAAACAAAAGCTAAATCACACAGAAACGAAAGACTCAGGCAACGAACTGGCCGAAGGCAATGATTCCTGTGTGTTAATCTGGGTGTAATGACTGCGGTAAAGAACATTTACAATTTAATTTATTTCTTGGAAGAAACTTATAATAAGGTTGCAGCTTTATTTATCAAATATTCTGGAGTAGGGAGTATTATAACTATAAATTGATAACGAGCTCGTGAATTTATCAAAGCGTAAAGGGAACATGAAAATTTATAATTTTCAAACACAAGCAAAAGACTAAGGCAACGAACTTTCTGGAGTGTGTAATGACTGAGGAAAAACTAATCATATGATTTCTTCAATTTGTTAGTCAATACTTAAAGATATCAAGGGTTGTGTTTAGTTCTATATTTAATCAAAATTTATTATGTGTTTTTTATTATAATTTAAAATATTTTATGAGTTTTTTTTTTTATTTCTGTAGAGTTCTCAAATAACCTGATCACTTTCTATTAAAATTTTAAGCTTCAGGTGGGGATGCAGATTTTTGATTTCCCCTTCCTCAACGAAAATTAAAATCCAAACTGTACAAAGTTAATCAAATGATTCTATTCCCTGCAAATCTATGCAAATTTAATGATGCTCACTATGACCAATTAAGTTCATAGTCGGCGACAGTAGAAGAAGCAGGTACTAAATTGCTTATTTATTAGTCAAAAGAGAAGAAAATATCTGGAAACGGAATGCTAATGATGTAAACTAAGCATTTAACTGTTAAAATGCCAGCAGCAGAGGCAAACAAAGCAAAGAAAAAGTCGCATCAGTGGGGCTCACTGTGAAAAAAGGGGAAGAGCGGGGGAAGATGAGCCCAACGCGACGACGACAAAACTTAGGCGACTTCCTAAGACTAATCAAAGCCGTTACAATGGTCGCACAGCCGCAAAAAACGCACTCAGCGCTTAAAAACCAGAGGAACCAGAAGGAAAAGAGACCGAGAGTGTGGAGATTCAAGGGAGAGAATGTAGGTTGCATTGGCTTTAATTACACTGCAGAAAAAAATACTCAGGCTTTGATCGAGCCAAAAAATCAGTCACAATTTTATGTTTAATAGATAAAATAGGCGGAAGTGTATTTTTATCATTGACTACAATTTTACCTGGCTTGTGGGTTTTCTATTTTGTATAAGCTCTATATAATATGCATTCATTATAAAATAGTTTTATTAAATGCGCCCAAGCCACTGAATTTAGGAGTCAAGAATTTCCTTATTTGATTTTTAATTAATTAGGTTGTGCGATAGTTTAATTTTATTGTTAAGTCCGATTTCACATGTCTCTGCGTGCTTTACATTTTGCTTCCAAGCTTAATATAAATCAAAACCTTTTGTAGACAACCGTTTACATAGTTACATTCTAAAATGTATTTATTAAGTCCGCTTATGGGACATATTTTCATGAAAATATTAAATAAGTATCTGTTCTTGTAGCACTTTATTTAAATATACTTTTATAATTTTGTTTAAATATGTCGTTTTGTGACGCTCGTTTCTGGAAAACTTAGGGTCTTAAGTAAGATTTTTATTTTCTCTGTAAATGTTTAGAGTAATGTTTTGCTCCCCAGCTGCTGCCTGTAATGTTGTTGTTATTTTTTGTTCAAGAAATTACCGTTTCATGTTGACAAAAAGAAGCAGTCGGGGAAGAAGAAGGTGAACTGGCTTTAGGTTTAGCTGGGAGTTCGGCTTCTGTGTGATTACAGTACCGCTCCTAATGATCATCATTAGATAGCCAAGGGTTTTTTTCACCAGCTGCTGCGCCGATTCTTCTGCTTCTTCTTGCCACTTCTTGGAGCTTGACGTGACGACATGCAATTGCAAACAGGAGGAACAAGAGGAAGAAGAAGATGAAGGCTATAAGAAGCGGTAGAACAACACCAATAATATTTGATAATGCAAACCGGAAGCTATAAAACTCGAGTGTAAGACGACATTTTACGTTAGACGGTCATCACAGTAAGCCCAAAGAGAATTTGCTAATTGCCTGCAATTGAAAATGTAAGAAAAAGAACCCGGGAATGGAGGAAATCTACAAGTTAAAGGCCGAAGACGGAAAGAACGCTTCATTAGGCCATATAAGGTCTTTAACCGAACTCCAAATACACTACAGTTATATACATACACACATCATAGGCGGGACTTACATGACCTGAATTCCGTGCAAAATACATTTCAGAGGAAAGATAAATTGTAAAATCTTCGCAAATTAAATCTTAAGTTACATATCGAGTATTTCCGTTTACCTTACTAGTTTTTTTTCTTAATTTAGGGAAATATTATTAGCCTGGACAATTTATTATGAAATATCTAATTATATATATCTATTATTTTTTCATTGGCTATAATATTGCTTAATTCGAGTTAATAAGCTTTTTAATTAAACTTTAAAAACTCCGCAAGAACCTAAACTAATTAACGACTTCTTTATAATCAAGTTCAAAGCACAAGGCTTCCATAGTGCTATAAAAAACCGATCATCTTTAGGATATTAAATGAACTTCCTGGATGCCCCCTGGTCATCCGTGCACTTCTCACTGCATTTTGCGATGATCTTGTAGAACGGGGTGTGCCACAAATCCGATTATCAGGGCCGGGAGCTTAGGTTCGACCGCCATCTCAAGGTCGAAAAAAGTATCTTGTATCTTGAATCTAAGCTCTCCTTTCAAGTAGAGCGCTAGAGCCCCCAGTTAGCTGAGCCACATTAGCAACATCTGATATGCCAAAAAGCGCTGCAGCACTTAAGGAAAGCCCCCATCCCCGACCAACAACAAAAGATAGCCCGCACGTAATCTGATATTGAAAACGGTGGGGCAACCAACTGAAAAGAGTGCTCTTATAAATAAAGCAGCGAAAAAACCGAACCAACTGAGCCTGGCCATATGAGGAGAATCTCTTTCTTTTGTGTCTCCACTATCCGAACAGAATCAGAACAGCACACAGAAAACAAACAGGATTTATTTACAATTTTATTGATTTCTCAAATTTTTAAAAACATTGATCTACAGATTTATTATGTCTGATATTAATATTATGTTGTTAAAATTTTAAGGTAAAATATTTAGAATTCGAAAGTACTTACATAGAAAAACCTTTTCTTATTATGCGTTTTAACCGAGTGCACACCAAAAAATGAGGAAATTAGATGAAGACCTGTGTTATGTCATTAGTATGGGCGCATTGAAAGGCTGAAAAAGAACCCAGTAAAAATAATGTAGTTACATTTTTAATTTGATTATTCATTATAATAATCTTGCTAAATAAAGTTTTTGAGTGATCACGCCAATTTTAAATAAAACATATGTACTTAATATTCTCTGAGCCGATAACTTATACGTTTAAAGAATATAAACACATTTTTTTTCCTTTCAAATGATAAACAAAATAATGATAAAATAATTTTTCGATCAATTAGTATATTTCTTTAAATATTTCTTAAGTAAACAAAACTAAATAAAACAATTAATTAAATTTGTTTAGCGATGGCTGCAAGATGGACGAGATAACTTTAATAACAATATAAAAGAAAGCATTTTTAAATTTTGGTCGGATGGCTCCAACATAAATATATAGGGGTAATAAATAGGAGAATAAATCATCACCCCAATGAGATGTGTTTCTTTTTTTCAATAGAACGTGAACCCATGAATTTTCCTCAGCCATTGTAGGCACATTTTCCCAAACGCATTCACGGCTTACTCCCAGAAACAGGAGGAATTTTAAAAGAAAGTTATTCCCTGCTAATTAACTCCAGGCTCCTCACGACTAAGTGCCCCAAGAAAAGAGTCGGAGATAACATTTTTTATGGCTCTCTTAGGTGCTCTCCCCCCCTGCAACACGTAAAGCACTAAGCCAAACCCGGGCCCTGGGTTATTTATCAGAACTGTCAGCGGGCCATAAATTCCGACTTTTGTCACTACCATTTATGGCCTAAAGAGGTAACCAATAAAACATACAAATTCGGTTGGCGCAATGCGTTATATAAGCACTCCGTCTGCATCTGATCTAACGGTGCTTGGTTCTTTGGGTTCTTTGGGCTCTTTGGGTTCTTTGGGTTTCTTTTCTTGGGTTCCTTGTTTACAAGACACCTTGACAAATGTGCCCGGAAAGAGGAAAACATTCGAGACGGGGAAACAACACAAGGCAGAAATTTGCATGGCAACTGAAATGGAAATGGGTGGAGTGGGAACCAAGCGGGCAAAACAGCGATCAGGTCTCCACTGCAGTTTTATGGTGCATTGTCTTACAGCGCTAGAAAGCAGAATAAAAAAGAAAGGAATCACCAATTGTAACAAAAGTCAGAACAAGTTTGCCACAAACCCTGTCCGGTCGTTGGCTTTGGCCTAGAGATGGGCGGGAATTATACGGAATTATGATCGTGTTGCGAGGCAGTAAAGGGGTTTTCTTATATTCAAAAAATATATCTTGTTGCTTTCTATGAACTATAATATCTTGACGTTGACCTCATAAG